TTTCCCTGTGTGTCTCTCTCTAGTCAAATTAAAATAAATGATTAAAGGGATCAGCAGGTGGCATAATGGCTACGTTGCAGGACTCCCACATAGTTGACCATGGTTCGAGTCCTGGACCTGGCAGCTTAAACTCATGCTGGGTGCATGTGCGTGTGTGCCTAAGATCCAAGAGGAGAATGGAGGAGAAGGGATTGTGGCATGGCCATCCCCCCTGGGGGGTGATTTCTCACTCTTTGTCTCTCTGTCTTTGTCTTTCTGGTGAGCGCACACACACTCTATAGCGAAAACCTCTCCAATAAATAAATAAATAAAATTTACAAAACCAAGTAAAAAGCTCAAAATGAAAAACAGTTCCCCACATTAAACATCTCTACACACTTTTTTTTTTGTTTTTAATTTGCCACAGGGCACATGTACTTGCCAGAGAGAGACAGAGAGGGAAAGGGAGAAAGCAGCCCCCTGGGGTGATGTCCACACCACGATCCCTAGTCCTCCATTCTCCTCTCAGGATTCTGGGCGTGTACATACATGCGCCTGGTGTGCTTTTCAAGCTGCTAGGTCTAGGACTCGAACTGAGCAGCTGGCCATGTGGGATTCAGCCACCTACATCACCATACCACCACCAGATGGCCCTCTACACACTCTTAGAATTCACACCAAGTGTATCAATAGTCAAAGTTGGTTTTGTTTTGTTTTATTTTGCCATAGAGCACATGTGCTCATCAGAGGGAGAGAGAGACAGTGAGAGGGAAAGTAAGAAATCACCCCCCAATGGGGATGGCTACACTGCAATCCCTTCTCCTCCATTCGGTTCCTGGGATTCTAAGCACACGTGCACATTGCGCCTGGCATAATTTTCGAGCCTCTGAGTCTGGGATTTGAACTGCTGTTGGCCATGTGGGAATCCAGCGCCTTAGCCCCTGTACCACCTGCTGGCCTCATCAGAGTTTTTAATGACAAATGAGGTTGCTTCTTGTTAATGCAATCTAAGGCCAGTTGCCAAGTTTCTAAATGCATATTCAGTGTCTGAGCTTCTGCTGAGATGGTAACACATGGTCTATGGACTGGCACTGGTCTAAGAGCCATACTTAGAACTGGACTTCCCTGTCTGGAGCAAATCAGGAGCCCGGGGGCTGCTGATGTGACATGGCGTGTGGAGGGAATGGCATGGGAAATAACAGTGATCTCACTCTTCTTTCCTCATTACCTCCTGACTTTCTTTGGTTCCCTCATTCTGTCTTTTTTTTTTTTTTGGAGAGGTTTTCACTATAGGGCACGTGCGCTCGCCAGACAGACAGAGACATAGAGACAGAAAGCGAGAAATCACCCCCCAGGGGGGGGATGGTCACACC